GATACCCCGACCACCAGCACCCCGGCGCCTAGCCTTGCCCTGCCTCCTCCCCCGGAGACTGTCGCCGCGCACGCGCCCTTCCTGAGCCCTGAGCCCCTCCTCGGCAACCCGCGCCCGCTGACCCCGCGCCCTCGCTACCCGGGGTGGCCGTTCCACTTCCGCCTCGGCCTTCTGGGGCCGCGACACCGGAGCGCGGCCACTGGACTAGCCGGGCCCGCCTCACCGAAACTACAATTCCCGGCAGGCAGTGCGCGGGCGCTCGAGCGCGCATGCGCCTGGCGGAGAGCGGAGGATCTCGCCTCCGCGGCTCGGAAAGGAGGCGGAGCATGCGCTGGTGTTGGGTTCTGGTAATGCGCACGCGCGGGGCGGGGCCTCGTGGGGCGCGGGAAAAGAGGTAGGGCGCGCGCAGGTTTGAGGGCCGCTAAGTGATTCTTAAAAGTCCTGCAGCCAGAGCTCCTCACTTTTTGGTGGCAGAAGTAGTGTTATTGTGGGGCTGGTCTCCGGGAGCCGGGGCCACTGTGCCCAGGACCCAGGCCTCAAGTGTCCAGATCCCCCTGCTTCAGACTCCAGGCCACCAGGTCGCCTTGAGGGCCAGTGTGGCCATTTGCTTGGGGGATGGAGAACTAAAGAAATCAACGCAATGCAAATAATCCAGGCGACTGTTCCCCAGCAGGTCCAGGCAGACTCCGTTCCTGCTACACAGAGGGACTTGGACGACTTCGGTGGCGCAGGTCGGTTTCAGCCTGCCTGGCCCCCAAGGCTGCAAGCAATTGGCCTCTGCCCACTGCTGTCCCTCCAAAGCCCCAGCATCCCCTCAGGGCCCCAGAAGTTCCCATGTGGCTTTGTAGGCCCCCAGTGGCTTCTCCAAGGTCTTCCCGTGTGCCTCGAAGGGCCACAGCCTGGGGCAAGGAAGGAGGTTCCCAGCAAGTTCCCAACATGCTCCCACGTGGGGACAAGAGCTGGGGCCGCAGGGCTTCCCTGGAGGATGCCCTTTCCAACCCGTGTGGCCCAGGGTGACTGTAACCCTGTGTCCTTCTGCCACTCAGCTGACCTGTGGGGGCAGCCAGATGGGCCTGGGTGGTGGTGGGGAAGGCTCTGCCCTCAGCCAGGGCCACTGGATAGGGACAGGGACAGAGACTACTGTGTTAACAACGAGAGATTTCGTTTGTTCACAGATTTCTCAAGGGAGAAGTAAAATGAGTAAGAGGAAGAAGCTTCGGACCTCAGGTATTTGGTTCACTGGAGTTGGATCTTTGGGGGGCAGAGCTTGTGGTTGAAACCAGGACCTGCTGCCTCTGGGGAAGCGCTCCACCACTGAGCTGCCCCCAGTCCAAGTTGGCATTTCTTGATTGCTGTCTGCTTATAGGACGAACACCGAACTTATTTGTTGTAGAAATGCTAATGTGAGTGTCCCAAGCTCCTTAAAAGATGATTTAATACAGCCCAATTAAAAAAACAGAAATGTGGAGAAGGGAATGAGATAAAGAGTGGGAGTTCTTTGGCACTTCCACCCGCCTCTTGGGGTCCCCCTGCCTAGAGATCCCCCCACCCCAGGTTTCAGAGCAGCAGTGCAGCCACTCCCAGGAGGACCCCTGAAGAGAGCTTGATGTGCTGCAAGGCCATCTGGAGTGGGGCCGAGTTTCACTCTGGAGCCAAAAATCTGGGTTCATCCCAACTCCCATCACTTTGTGATCGAGATTGATTTACTCTGTGCCTCATTTTCACCATTTTGTAAATTGGGAATAATAAACACACCTACCTACCAGAACCACCCAGAGCAGTGGTTCCAGGAAGGTGGGGGGGACAATTGTTAAGAAGACATTTTTTAAATTTTGTGTGGAACAGATAATACTGGCATCTAGTGGGTGGAAGTAAGGGCTGCTGTTCACAGTTCTGTAATGCCCAGGACAGTCCCCTATAGTGCAAAGTGATCCAGGCACAGATGTTTGCTGATGGCGCCAGGTTAAGGGAAACCTGCCTTAGAACCCACACACGAATTAGCATTTGTAAAGATCACACTTGAAGGAATACACACGTTTGTGCTGTCAGTGATTATTTTTGCAGATTTTTTTTTTTAAACTAGGGATTGAACTCAGGGGTGCTCGTCTTCTGAGCTACATTCTTTGACCTTTTTATTTTTTTTATTTTGAGGCAGGGTCTTACTAATTTGCCTAGGCTGGCATTGAACTTGGGATCCTCCTGCCTCAGCCTCCTGGGTGAATCTCTGTGCCTGGTGTCCTTGCTTACTTTATTTATTTATTTATCTATTTTTGGTAGATGTAGATGGACAGCGTGCCTTTATTTTATTTGTTTATTTTTATGTGGTGCTAAGGATCGAACCCAGTACCTCACACGTGCAAGGCAAGCACTCTGCCACTGAGCTACAGCCCCAACCCCCTTGCTTACTTTTAAGATGCTTTTCATTTTGAAATAATTTGGAGCCTATCGACAAGTTTGCAAAAGTAGTTTTGGAAGTTCTGCCTGTCCTTTCCCCAGTTTCCCCAACATTAACATATAGCACAAACATAGATGATGTTCCAACTGTAAAAAAAAAAAACAAAAAAAACAAGAAAGCCACCTCAATGCACTACTTCTTCCGGACTTTTTCCTTGTACAAGGAGATTGACTCCAGAGCTAGTCAGACACACAGCAAACACCGAAGTCTTTGGATGCTCAAGTTCCTTATATAAAATGGCAAAGTGACTGGGCTCAGTGGCGCATTCCTGTAGCCTCCCAGCAACTTGGGAGGCTAGGTGGAGGATCACAAGTTCGAGGCCAACCTTGGCAACTTAGCAATACCCTGTCTTAAAATACATTTTTTTTTTACAAAAGGGCTGGGGACGTAGCTCAGAGGTAGAATGCTCCCGGGTTCACTTCCCAGTATCACACGTGCACGCGCACACACACACAGGCAAAGAATTTGCATATAACCTACACATCCTCCTGTAGACTTTAAGTCATCTCTAGATGACCTATAAAACCTAGCATGATGTGAATGACATGTGAATTGCTTTTATGCTACATTGTTTAGAGAATTGTGACAAGGCAAAAAAAAAAGCCTGCACATGTTCAAGACACAGACTTTTTTTTCCTGAATGTTTTCCATTCATGGTTGGTTGAATCTGTGGATGAGGAACTGGTCACAGATGTGGAGGGCTGACTACATACAGATGGAATACTTTTATTGAAAAACAGAATCATCACCCATACTGATGTGTGCCTGCTGTTTTTCACTTCTCAGTGTATCATGTCCACCTTTTCTTGTTAATACACACACGAGGGCTGGGGTGTCACTCAGTGGTGAAGCGCTTACACAGCGTGCACAAGGCCCTGGGTTCATCCCCAGCACTGAAAAAACAAAACAGTTTCTTCACTGTAAGAAGAAACACCCAATATTGCTTGGACGGCTTCAGGTCCCTATCACTGTCTAAGGTAACATAAATTTCTTAAAAATTTAGAAATTGGGGGCTGGGGATGTAGCTCAAGCGGTAGTGTGCTCGCCTAGCATGCGGGAGGCACTGGGTTCGATTCTCAGCACCTCATAGAAACAAAATAAAGTTATTGTGTTCACCTAAAACTAAAAAAAAATAAATATTAAAAAAAATTAGAAATCGGGCTGGGGTCGCGCCTTAGTGGTAGAGCGCTTGCCTAGCACACGGGAGGCCCTGGGTTCATTCCCCAGCACCACCTAAAAAAACAAAAACTTAGAACTAATTTTCTTATGTAGCAAGTGGCGAACTGAATGAATTTGTTCGTTTTTTTCCCCTAAGATGTGGGAAAAAAAGGAAATGGTTGATAGATTGAACATATTTTGTGCGGAGATGAGCAACAGGCTACTTGGAGGCACAGGGATTTCTCTGACCTTGGAGGGAAAGCTGGGTCATTTGGGGACCGTCTTGGCAGAGGACTCCCCAGCTCCGCGGACCTCTGGGCTGCCCTGGGTGGCTCTTGCTGTGTGTCCACAGAAAAAGAAGATCCTGGCAGGTCGTGAAAGAGGCCCCCCGCTCCCCGTGTCTTCAGTCTTTGGTAGTGAACACAAGGTTCTGCCTTATTTTATCTTGAATTAGTCCCACGGGGACAGACCACAGGAAGGAAATGGGAGGCTCTGCTCTTCTGTTGATGTTTTTGCTTTTTATTTGGTACAAATGGCCATTGAATCAGCCAAACGAGCGAATGTTTGGGAATCAGTCTTAAGGAACCAAATAAACAAAGCTGCTTTCTTTCTTTCTTCTTTTTCCCCCCTTTCCTTCTCTGGCAGACCCAGGTGGGTTCGTGTTTGTATAAGAAACATTTCATGGGAAGCTTCCTGGTGGCTCCTAGTTCACTGGGGTGGGCACCTGATGGGGGCCGGGTGAGGCAAGGATGAGATCAGAGGGTACTGCAGATCCGTTCCAGCCCTGGGGACCCTCCGGGGCCAGTCAGGGGAAAGGGAAATGCTTCTCATGGAGAGAGCTGGTCACACTCAGCAGATGGATGGAGTTCTCCACGGGCTCAGAACCACAGCAGCCGGAGGGAGGAGAGGTTACCACTGGGGGGGCTGGGGGGGCAGTGGTGAGTGCTTGCCTAGCACACGCAAGGCCCTGGGTTCCATCCCCTCACTGGGAAAAAAATTCCTGGGGAGTTACTGGGGTTTAGGGGAGCACAAAGAGCTGGTGAGGGACTGTGAGGACCCTAGCTGTGGGCGTCGGGTGGGGGACTCATTTATGGGCTTCTTCCAGATGTGTAGTGGGGGTGGAGCTGATTTCGTGGAGAACCTATCTGATAGAACTCCGGAAAGCGACACCTGGGTTTGCTTTGTCTCTTGGCTCTCCCTGATGGGTCAGAGCCCCGTCCGTATGGTGCCCCCTAAGTGCTGGGGCCTCCAGTGTGCAGGCTGCGGAGCTGGACTGCATCCAGTCTTGGTTCCTCGGCCTCGACTTCCTCATCTGTAAGATTGTAAGACCAGTAATCCCTGGGATTTCTGAGGTCCCCTACATCGAAGTCTCCACACACAAGTTCTTAGGACAGCGTCTGGTGTGGAATTCCATGGCATCTACACTTGTTCGTTGAACACGGGATTGGGATGGGCCTAGGAGTGGGGAGGCTCACAGGTAAGCTGTGATTGGCAGTTTCTGTGTAAAGGGGGTTTCTTTAACTGATATTGACAAGAACCCTTAGACTGTCAAGAGCAAGAAAAGGACCTAGCCCAGTTGCCTTTAGTGATGGGGAAAGGAATGCAGAGGGACAAGGGACTAAGCGGTGGCCTCCTGCACCC